GCAACCACCGAGCACCTCAACAAAGGGTCACTCAAAGGCGATGCCGCACATGGCTGTGGGACAAAAACATGTACCAAAATGGCACCTTGGTTCATGGAAGAGACTAAGACCTGCGTAACCTGCGTAACCCTAGCTCTTTAATTTTGAGCCACCACATGGATTTCTTGGGTCCGTGCGAATCAGACTAGGGTGCCGGGAACAGTTGGCATGAAGGCTTTGCATCACCGTTGCGGCAAACAAAACACAAACCAGGGAGAACTTGGTTTACCCCGAGGTGACCTCATTACAGCTTGCCCAGTTCAGATTCTCCTATGAAGTAGTCTTAAACAAGAACAGGATGGCTCATGTTTCCCCTTTAAACAAAACTGTCTGAAAAGCAAACGGGGAATATAGAACACTCTGAGCCAAACACGTTGGAAGACCTATTTCAAAAACTGGCCTCAAAAACGTGAAAAAAAACGTCCCCCCAAAAGACTTGGACCCCTATTCTGCATGGGAAAAGGGGAAGCCTGCTTGATGTGGCTGAAAACCTATGAATACTTGGATGAATAACATACCAATCGGTCCAGGATTTCGTCTGTGAACAACCTACTCATTATGTTGGACCATGGTTCTTTTCTAAAACCAGCTATCTTTTCCGGGTGTTTGATGGGTCCTCCAAGCAGTCTTGATCTGTTTCAATCCTTGCCGAGGCGCCATCATGGCGCACATCGCCACCAAGGTGACCACTTGAATGCTCAGGAGCTGCTGTTCATTCACCCGGGCCTGCAACTTCTCCTTGGCAACACTGGCAGGGCTGGAAAGGTTCCACTAAATCTCTGCACCTGCCACTTTCGCGATGTTCAAAAAAGGGACAATTTGAGCGGCCCATGAAGAAACATCAAATCAAAAAAACCGACACGATCTGTTCATGGCCGACCTGGCAAGTGGCAAATGTAGCCCTGGTTCTGACCATGGTTCTGACGCACTTTCCGAAGCGGACCATCTACGATGGCAAAACAGAACACAGGATTGCTCCGTGCACTCTGGCACAAAGGCACAGAAAGAAATGAGCCACGCGCAAAGTAATGTTTGCTTTCCAGACTTGCTTAAAGAACTCTGTGCGAGCCTCCGGATCTCGGTTTGCGACTTGCTCCCCGGGAGCTTGTGGCTCAATATGCGCAGCCAACCATGCCGGGAAATGTAAATGTCGACCCTTGAAATACCTGGTGGATTATTTGGGTGCTGTTCCCGCAAAAGTGGCGGTCCTACTAAGTGAGAGCATCCTCCAGCAAATCCAGACAGGGGATTCATCAAGATCCCGGGTCAAATCAGCTCCCATGTTGATGTTTCAAAAGAACAAAACAACCAATTTGAGTGGTTCATCTTCGTGAGGAACTGGGAAAGAGCTGGAAGTTCTCACCGCAGGCGGCCAACAATTAGCAGATGTTGACCAACAGAGACGGGAAGGAAAAACACAACGCGGACAGCTAAGCAACCCACGTACAACAACCAAACACAGAGACAAACAAGCAACGAACAAGCAGCGCAAAACACTTCTCTCACGCTTCCTTTAATAAACATCAACTAAAAACGGTGATATTCCAAGAAGGAGCATGTAGGAACCCCTGTGCAGAACCCAAACGCACTCCACTGGATCTGTTCAAGTGAACATTTTCAGCCGACTATACAATGTCTTTTTGGAGTAGCTTCCCTTTAAACCGCCATTAGGATTTTGAGGATGCGCTTCACAAGCCAAAACAGAGGTGACTGGATTTCCCACCACGTTGCAGTTAACTGGTGGTCTTCAATCAAACGATCGTCGCTTTTGAAGGTTCCTTAAAAGGGAGATGGCTCGGAAACCCCGCCGCTTGCAAGAAAACAGCGTCTCATTTCCCGAGTGGAAACACATGTGTTTTTTGTTAAACCACTAACTTGGTCCAACCCCAAAAGTGTAAAGTCCAGGAACTCAGGGAGTGAGAAAAGGGAACTGGCTCGGAAAACCGGTCGCCAGCAAGAAACACGTTCTCCAGTTTGCCGGGTCGCGTCCGCTCGGATCCACCGCCAACTTCTCACGGCTTTGAGAACCCAAAGCCCGGAGCACACGCACAGCCTCGCTGGAGTGGCTAAACAGGCGCTCGGTGTGTTCTAAAAAAAAAAAAAACAATGCACAAGTCCACACAGAAAACAGAAAAAAAAAAACATAAAACAAGAAATGACAACTAAAGAAATACATGAATAAATCAGAACATGTTCACATCCCGTTTGGTTTCCCTTTGGGCGAATTAAATATTGTGGGCTATGAATCGACCTGGCATCGAGCAACTGCAAAAAAGAAGCGGCATCAAACCGCGATTGAGGTGTGGTAAAACAGAAAAAAATAAAGGTCTTACCACGATTTAGGGTTGGTTCAGGGTTGGTTTGGGGTGCTTTAGAGTTGAGTTTAGTGTTGTTTTTGGGGTATCCAGAGCAAGGGGAAATGAGTATTTGGTTGTTTCCGCAATGGGGTGCGCTTTCACTTGCCTTTTTGCCGCGAGGAAACTTTGAAGCAGTAGATTTGGCCCTGCAAGTCAGACATGTAAACCAAAGCTACAGCTTTGCCGGGTTTTGTTGCAACAGGTGTCCTGATACAAATCATCCAGAGCCGCCCAACGTTCGAAATACCTTTGTTGGGAGGGCTGTAAAGGTTGAACAGCGAAAAATGGAGCGCGCAACCCGGTCCATACTTCTGACACTATGCGTTTAAAGGTAAAATGGGTGCGTCTGCCTGGGTACCGCCAAGAACTCTCCATGCATTTTGGCCTTCCAACCAGGATGTTGATATCATCCCGCCTTGAAGTTTGGGTCTGGGCAAAGAATCAACCTGCCAATTCTTGAGAATCCGTTTTCCTGATCCGGATCCCAAACTGGCACACCCTACTGTGGATGGACGAAATCCTGCACCACCTAAGAAACCTTGGGAATGATGATTCCCCTGTAAATACCAACAGACAATGGCTCCCCATTGTTTCTTGGGTGGTGCAGGATTTGGTCCATCCACAGTATTTAGAGATCAGGGGCAAACACCATTCTTCTCGCTTTCTCTCCAATTGGTTTTCCATTTATCCTCCTATCAAACCTTCATGAGCTCGTTTCCTCCACAAAAGCCAGTGAGTCTCCTGGTAAGAAACCTCGAGCTCGTTTCACCAAACTTGAGTCATAATCAAAACCCGGTATTAAAATGGCCGTAATCCCAGAACCATTTCAAGAATTAAGGCGGAATTCCGCAACTATTTGTTGGGATTGTCCCTTACGCTTCATCAGGGATCCTGACATTATACACCTAAACATTGCCTTGTAAATGGTAGTTCCCCTTTATTATGGTGTTGAAAAAGCAACATGTTTCAACTGGTTGCAAAATGAATTTCTTTTAAGGAGCCCTGTTCATCATTCCCCGGTTTTGATTGCACGTGGGCCATTTGACGACCTCAAGAGCAGCGAGGAGCAGGCCCAAAGTGCCAAGAGCACACAATGCCACTGGATCCTGCAAGATGGTCAGCTCTGCCTTGCGCGGAAGCGGGCAGAAGAATTTGGGTAGCCGGCCAGGGAGACCCCTACCATAATGGTGGTTTTCCTGTCGGGGTCCCTTTTAACTTCGGGGTGTCCTCCAAAAACTTTTTGTGAATTTGAACCCTTTTTTGGTTGGTTGATGCCAGATTGGAGGGGAGCCCACCAAACAAAAAGGGACGGAACACTCACCCATGTTGTGGAGGGAACCACCAAACAACATGGATCAAAATGAAAGAGCTGGGGTTAGACAGGTTCTAGTCTTTGCTTCCACTTACAAAGGTGCCATCCGCACACAAGTTTCAATGATTGAGCCGCTGGTTCAAAAGCTGTAAAATCCCCCCAAGAGCTTCAAGCAACCCTTAACTCCGGGCTTGAAGCCCCGGTTCTTGTACCTAAATGGAAAGCCACCCCCCTAGCCAATTCAAACCACCGGGCTCCAAACCACCCTTTTTGAGCAGAACTGTGGGAAATGACCAGGCAGACAGGGCTTCCCAAAGACTACCCCCAGGCAAAGATCCCCTTGAGTCACAGTGGGGACAAACCCCGACCGAGTGATCCCGGAACCGGCACCTTGGAGTCCTCGCCGCAATTGGCACTCATGGCGCGGTGGAATTCGGGGCGACTTTCGGGCGAACCTTCCGCACCGGAGCTTCCGGTCGTGGCGGGTGGGTTTTGGGCGAAATGTCTGGCCTGAGCGCTGTCAAGGGTTCAAACCCCCATGAAAATTATGGTCGACCCAATTGGTTCAACCCAAATGGGAGTTGTCAAGGGAGGTGATCAGCCATATCAGCCTTCGAACCAAACCCCGACTTCCGGCGATTCGCCGGCGATCTACCTGTCGCCTTAGGCCAAATGGCTGCGAATGATTCGGCGAGTTTGGACAGCGAGAATGACATGCGTTGGTCGTCTTTTTTTTTTTTGCTGCGACCTGATAAGAAAGCTGGCACGCTGGTTGGTTGCATGTTTGGGCTTCCCTTCAAATACGATCCCGAAAGGGATTCACAAATTTGGGCAAAAGGCGCAGGTCACTCAAAAAGCACGTGTCCATGATTAAATACCACTGGACCAAAACCACAAGAATATGAAGCTCAACTTTGGTCTTTGGCTTTCGTTGCGTATCCCCCCTTTCTCTCCCCCCGAAAGTTGCAACCCAAAGGTTTTCGGCCCAAAAAGAAATTGTTAGCCCTCTAGGCATGCATGCAAAAATGGCCTTGGACGGCTTGCACTGGGAAAGGTCTGGCGCCACGCCAAAAAACACCCCCCTGCATAACCCAGAAGCAACCAGTCACCCTGGCAGAAAAAGGGAACCCCTTTCGCAACATTTTTTGGGGGGAACAAAGCAAATCCCACCAAAGAGCAAGTAGCTGGAAGCGTGTTCGGGTGCTCGCGGAGAATTTGTACTGGCCTTCCGAATAAGACCTGCGCGTCGACCCAAAAAAAACGCCCCCCACTTGCCAGAAGGACCTGCATGCATTCAGCAGCTTGGAAGCGGCGAACCGATCCCAACTGCCGGGGCGAACCGCCATGGGCTCTTTCCACAAGTGAACTCCGGGAGCGAGAGAACACCAGCTGCTCCCCGAGATTTTTTTCTAAAGAAGCCCAAGGCACGAGCTGTTGCGAACTCATCCGCTCAGCCAAAGAAAGCGCGCCCGTCTTTCAGGGCCCCGCAAAAACACATCAGATTGGAACGATGACCTCAGGTAAAATCCTAAAACAAACGAGCCGACTTCCAGATAGTTGATTGCGATGACCGGTAAAGAAAAGGACCTCCAGCAAAGAACACTCTCTCTCTCTCTCTAAAAGTGAAAACAGGGACACCTCTGGAGGTCGGGGAGGGGATAGAAATTTGACATTTATCGGACGTGCCTCCGCTCGCTGGCATAGCCTCCACCCTGGCCCGAACAGTAGTCGGGTGAAACGTAGAGGCCAGGAGGTCGGGTGTACTCATCCCGTTTACCCAAGGGAACGGTGCCATCTTGCACTTGGAACTTGCCAAAGCCCCTGGCATGCCCTTGGTACAGTTGATTCTGCCATGTACCCTGATTTGGGTGAAGGGCAGGGCCCGGTCGAGTGTGCGATACGAGCCCAAATGGACCCGGGAAGCAAGGTTGGGTGAGCTGATGAATGACTTCTGCACATCGTGCCTTCTTCAGGCTATGGGGTCTCTGCTAGCAAATAAGTGGAGTTCAGAGCGGCTCCGGTCCAAGGTCACCCGAGAAAAATCCGGAGGTTGCGGTTGGGTTTCTACCTGGTCTGGCCGTTCTGATCGGCCTTGCTTGTGCTCAGCCGTTTTTTCTTCTAGCAAACTTTCTGTAGCCCTCCCAGAGTCTTCCTGCAATCTTTGGAGGCGTGCTTATAGTTTTGCAGCACTTCTCGTGTCGAAAAACCGAATTATGTTCCTTTGGCATATTCTGTTCATTTGGCATCTGAGGCTCATCTCTACTGGGAGACGCTCAGTGTGCGAGCGGCTTGCTGGGAAGTGTTGATACTCACGTGGCTATTGGCTGGTTCTCGGTCGGCTATCGGTCTTGTCATCGGTCTTCCAAATCAAAGGCTTGCCTCGGCCTAGTGTTATCCTCGATTTTGCAGAATTTTGGAGCTTGAGAGACGTGACCAGAAGTGTTGCTTTCACCAACCTCCACTACCCTCAGTAGGACTTCTGGGGAGTGGTCTGCACGGCGGCCACCTGAGAAAATCTTACAGCAAATTCACGCTCCAGTCTCCCCTTACGGGAACTTGTGCAAACCCAGCGCAAAACCCAGCGACACACACATGAAATCGAAGCCACCAACGCCAGAACCACCGCCAAACCCACAAGAAACACGTCCACCACCACCAGGTCCACCACCACCACACTCCATGACCCCACCAGCCCACGACACTGGGCCCGGCCTCAGAGGCCTTGGAGCCTTGGCGCATGCGAAACTTATCACTGTCCGTTTTCCGACCGGCCTTTAAAGTGGTGAACTTTTCAGTGGCCAAAATTCGGAAACCCAACCACCAATCCCTAAGACCTTAAAACAAAAACTAAGGAATCGGATGCCTGGGTGAACCGCCAAGGTCTGAAAAAAAAAAAACATGACATACAAACTGAACTCAGGCTTGGCTACCCATTCTCTTCATCCATCCTTTTCTTTGGACACCCATTTTGCCAGAAAGATTGCCAATTCTTTGAAGAGAAGGATCCCTGAAGAATGTGGGGAAGGTACAGGTATGTCGGCTTGAAAAGGAGACAGTGAGCACGGCAATAATTCATCGACATCCACAAATGTACCTTGGGGAACCGGGTCTGAATTGGGCATGTCAAAATGTGTGAGGTTGCCTTTGGCATGCCAAAATGTACCTTTGTCTAGCACCCGAACCGTTGCCCGACCATGCCCGAACCATTTCAACAGATCCAAGCTCCCTACCCAAGCCAAAAAACCAGAAACTTGAGGCTTTGGCAGTGGCTTCTCAAATTTGGGACCCGGTCTTTTTAGAAAAAGAGGGTACCCTTTTTAGGATGGCTTTAAAGGGGAACCAAAAGGAACATCGCCATGTTGTCTAGGTCCTCCAGTAGAGAGGTTAGAATAAGGGTACCTTTTTTTTTCTGTTGTCTATTTAGTAGGGGAATCCTCCCCCCAAAAAAGGAACGGTAAAAAGGGCACCAATTGCTGGGGGACCTAGTTGTGGGTCCCCCAAAACAGGACACGCCCATAATTCGGTCGTCTCGGTGGCTTTCCTCGATGCCGAAGGGCTGGCGGAAGGGGCGGTCTTGAGGCCGCCCTCGTCCAGAAACTCGAAGCCCTGTAGGGTCTTCCAGTCCCGGACTTCCTTCATGGTGACCTCCAGGGACAAAGAAGCTTCAATGGGACGGATTTTCGGACCTCTGGAACATCAGCCAAGCTTCCATTTGCTGAAGACCCCTGGGACAATAGACATATTTCCAGTGGTGATAGATTCCATTCTTAAGCGCCAACAGCCCGGATGGGACCTCTGAACATAAGGGACCAAGAAGGCCCATGGGACGGATTCTTGGACCTCTGAACACCAGCGGAACATCCAAAAGCAACTTCAGAGAGGTTAGAATAAGTTGGTACCAACATTTTTTTTTTCCGGTAGTCTATTTTTGTAGGGCCACCCTCCCCTTTAAAAGGGGTTAAACGGGGCACCTAGCTGGGGGACCTAGACTCCCAGACCTGTGCCAAAAAGACAGAAAGGCGGCCTCAGGCTGGGATCTCCAAACAAAAGCTTCCAGGCCTCTGGGGACCTGCAGCGCGCTTGAATCCAAGGGAATGGGCCAGTGTCCGACACCAGCCTTGCTTAACATCAAGCGCTGCACATCAAGGAAGAAACTGTCGGGCTTGTGGATGGGTCCACCTTGGGACTAGTTGTTCAGTGCTTAAATGGTCTCAGCCATCCCGACTCGGGCTTTTGTGGATTTTGTCCATCGTTGCTTGGCTGCAGCGTGCACCCAAAAACATTTTCAGGTACTCATAATTTGGACAACCTCAACAAAACACAACAAAAAACTGATCTGGTTGGGGGGGGGGGGGTGGGGGAGTTGAATCCCGTGACCCAATTTCTCAGTAACCCTGGTAAAAATACGGGGAGCCCTGTTCGTCTTGAGTGGAGTCACCAAAAAACACAAAGAGAAAAATGGTGCCACTGAGCAAGTGGTTAGAACAACCCTGACCGGGGAAGGTAAACGGCGCCATGGCAACGGTACACAGATCCAAGCGACACCAACCAAAAGACCAGAAGTGCCGGGAACGTCGCGGAAAGCAACTGCAGTCACTCCGAGCCTTCTCGGACAGAACCTGGCGGGCGAGCATTGACTCCACGGCTTCGGCCGCAAAGGGAAAGAATGTTCGCCCAGGTTAGTGGGTGGAAGGGTAGGACATAGCCTGGGGTCCAAGGAGCAACACTATGAAAAAAGGTGGACACTGCGCTGGCAGTGAGGCATGCGACGTCTCCACCGTCGAGGCGTTCGCGCCTTCTCCAGCAAGACTGGAAGATCCTGGAGGGGCAGCGAGAAATCTGCCGCTGGTCAGAATCACCACACTCGGTGGCCTTCCCCCAAGAATGAGTGACTAGGTCCCCCAGTACAGGATAGAATAAGGGTACCAACTTTTTTCGGTAGTCACCAAAAAAAGGTACAAGGGCACTACTGGGGATCAGGGATAATAATTGTTCCACGAGTTTCGGGAAACAGCTTGTATTCCCATGGTGGCGCTAGGGAAATTGCGTTTCAACTGCCAAACCCTACGCCCAACGCCAAGTGGAAGCCCAAACAAGCTGAAACAATAGTGGCTTAGACCCATCTGGGGCAACCCGTGGAAACTGATACTTTTTGCGTAGTGAATCAATTGACTATCATCACTCTCGAAAAGAAGGCCCTTAATTCGAGAGTCTGCGCCAACACCTGAACTGAGCATATGCGACTCAGGGTGCTCGTTGCATATTATTTGCCAATTCCTTGGGATACTGTTGAGGGAACGGACAAGTGCTTAGATCCCGGGGGGGAACCGCGTTCTTTGGTTAGCCAACATTGCAAGAGTTTGCTGGGGGTCTTGCTGGGGCATAATTGGTGGCTAGCTGCTTACATGAATTTTGACTTCCCGTCCTGTTCAACCCTTGAAACAACCGGCTGATCCAGCTGGTTGCCACGGATGCACTGTGGGTTTCGAAAATAAATGTCTCTGGATATCCCTGCAAAAAAGGGGAAGCTTCCTCTTGAAAAGCTAAGCCTTGCACAACTCACTTCCTGAATAAATTGGCCAAAACGGGTCTAAACGGTTTTTGCCACCACAATGGTCCAAGCCCAAAAAGATTTGCGCCCAGGAATTCGGGAAATTACATCATCCAAGCTCCATCTGACAGGCAAGCGACAAGCGCCGCCCTTTCGTGCGTGCCGAGCTTCTTCCAAAGCGGCGCCCAAGCGCCCCGCAATGCCACAGCCATGCACCTGGCATCTGAGCCGTGGAAGGGCATCTGAGAGCCAGGTCGGGCTTAGTCAAAAATCGAGCGGGGGGGGTGTCTTCTTTGAGGATCGCCATTTTAGTTTGGTTTTAATGGAAGCCAACTTGGTAAAGTAACATTTTGGGGTCCCCCGGTTTTGACGCATACCCAAAGCCATCTGGCCTTCTGACAGGGAAAACAGAACTCCGGGTGCGTCACACCCGACCTACCATGATTTTTCGGGACCCCCTTAAAGCAACCTGCATGTGTTAGCCAGCCCAACAACGGCATGTACCGGTATGTAAAAACAACAACCTTGCAAATACACACCAGACCTCACCAAGACCCGAGCTTTGACCAGGTCCCAAGCTGAAAGACTCCCTTTCACGGACGAGAATGTGGCATGGGCCCCCCCAAATCCTAAAGATCCGTTGCCCAAGAGTCAAGATTGAACCCCGGGAGTCCCGGCGCAGGCCGCCACTTCGGAGACGAAGGTGCTGATCTTGTCCTGACGGAATCCAACTCAGGTCATATCCGCCGAGCAAACAAACAAGAGCAAAGAGGTGGAATTCAAAACAGAAGGTGAAACAAGAGCAAAGAAGAGGAAGACATTGCAAAACAGAAGGTGAAACAAGAGCAAAGAAGAGGAAGAAGACATTGCAAAACAGAAGGTGAAACAAGAGCAAAGAAGAGGAAGACATTGCAAAACAGAAGGTGAAACAAGAGCAAAGAGGTGGAATTTTCAAAACAGAAGGTGAAACAAGAGCAAAGAAGAGGAAGACATTGCAAAACAGAAGGTGAAACAAGACCAAAGAAGAGGTGGAATATTGCAAAACAGAAGGTGAAACAAGACCAAAGAAGAGGTGGAATATTGTTTTAAAACAGAAGGTGAAACAAGACCAAAGAAGAGGTGGAATATTGTTTTAAAACAGAAGGTGAAACAAGACCAAAGAAGAGGTGGAATATTGTTTTTAAACAGAAGGTGAAACAAGACCAAAGAAGAGGTGGAATATTGTTTTAAAACAGAAGGTGAAACAAGACCAAAGAAGAGGTGGAATATTGTTTTAAAACAGAAGGTGAAACAAGACCAAAGAAGTGGAATAATTTTCAAAACAGAAGGTGAAACAAGAGCAAAGAAGTGGAATAATTCTCAAAGCAGAAGGTGAAACAAGACCAAAGAAGTGGAATAATTTTCAAAACAGAAGGTGAAACAAGAGCAAAGAAGAGGAAGACATTGCAAAACAGAAGGTGAAACAAGACCAAAGAAGTGGAATAATTTTCAAAACAGAAGGTGAAACAAGACCAAAGAAGAGGTGGAATATTGTGTTAAAACAGAAGGTGAAACAAGACCAAAGAAGAGGAATAATTTTCAAAACAGAAGGTGAAACAAGACCAAAGAAGAGGTGGAATATTGTTTTAAAACAGAAGGTGAAACAAGACCAAAGAAGAGGTGGAATATTGTTTTAGGTTGTTTTAAAACAGAAGGTGAAACAAGACCAAAGAAGTGGAATAATTTTCAAAACCAAAGAAAAGGAAGACATTGCAAAACAGAAGGTGAAACAAGACCAAAGAAGTGGAATAATTTTCAAAGCAGAAGGTGAAACAAGAGCAAAGAAGTGGAAGGTGAAACAAGACCAAAGAAGTGGAATAATTTTCAAAACAGAAGGTGAAACAAGAGCAAAGAAGAGGAAGACATTGCAAAACAGAAGGTGAAACAAGACCAAAGAAGTGGAATAATTTTCAAAGCAGAAGGTGAAACAAGAGCAAAGAAGTGGAATAATTCTCAAAGCAGAAGGTGAAACAAGACCAAAGAAGTGGAATAATTTTCAAAGCAGAAGGTGAAACAAGAGCAAAGAAGTGGAATAATTCTCAAAGCAGAAGGTGAAACAAGAGCAAAGAAGTGGAATAATTCTCAAAGCAGAAGGTGAAACAAGACCAAAGAAGTGGAATAATTTTCAAAACAGAAGGTGAAACAAGAGCAAAGAAGAGGAAGACATTGCAAAACAGAAGGTGAAACAAGACCAAAGAAGTGGAATAATTTTCAAAGCACAAGGTGAAACAAGAGCAAAGAAGTGGAGTAATTCTCAAAGCAGAAGGTGAAACAAGACCAAAGAAGTGGAAAAATTTTCAATGCAGAAGGTGAAACAAGAGCAAAGAAGTGGAATAATTCTCAAAGCAGAAGGTGAAACAAGACCAAAGAAGTGGAATAATTTTCAACGCAGAAGGTGAAACAAGAGCAAAGAAGTGGAATAATTCTCAAAGCAGAAGGTGAAACAAGACCAAAGAAGTGGAATAATTTTCAAAACTGAAGGTGAAACAAGACCAAATAAGTGGAATAATTTTCAAAGCAGAAGGTGAAACAAGAGCAAAGAAGTGGAATAATTCTCAAAGCAGAAGGTGAAACAAGACCAAAGAAGTGGAATAATTTTCAATGCAGAAGGTGAAACAAGAGCAAATAAGTGGAATAATTCTCAAAGCAGAAGGTGAAACAAGACCAAAGAAGTGGAATAATTTTCAACGCAGAAGGTGAAACAAGAGCAAAGAAGTGGAATAATTCTCAAAGCAGAAGGTGAAACAAGACCAAAGAAGTGGAATAATTTTCAAAACTGAAGGTGAAACAAGAGCAAAGAAGTGGAATAATTTTCAAAGCAGAAGGTGAAACAAGAGCAAAGAAGTGGAATAATTCTCAAAGCAGAAGGTGAAACAAGACCAAAGAAGTGGAATAATTTTCAAAACTGAAGGTGAAACAAGAGCAAAGAAGAGGTGGAATTTTCCAAACCCAACCAACGGAATCTGTCCGTAGGACCACTTGCGACAGGCTCGCCTAAAACGATGGTTCTTTGGACAGAAAGGACAAAAAACCAAAAAACAGTAGGGCCCACAGAGTTGCAAGTCCAGAATCGAGGAGTTTGGGGGGAATCAGATATTCGCCCTAGGTCCTCCAGATTTGAGAGGTTAGAATCAGGGTACCAAAACTTCTTTTTTTTTGGGGGGGGTCTAGTATATTTTAGTAGGGGAACCCTCCCCAAAAAAAGGTTAAAGGGCACTACTGGGGGACCTAGTTACTCATTTTGAACCGTCTGACACACAAATAGCCCACCAAACAGCACACATACTGTGGGTGGACAAAATCCTGCACCACGTTGAAACCATGGAGAACCATTGTTCGTTGGCATTTACAGGGGAATCATCCTTTCAGGGTTTGTTAGGTGGTGCAGGATTTCGTCAATCCACAGCAGGGCATATCAAAACCACTCGGCCGCATGGCGCTTGCCTTGCTGTAGTGGCGGGTGCCGTAGTGCTCACCTCGAGAAGCGAACGTCCCCACTTCAACCTAAAAAGAAACGACTGAACCCAAAGGCTCCTGGGGCTTTCAATGGAAGACCAGACACCCCCGGAGGTGTTTGGGAGTCTCAAAACCTGGATGTTTGAGGGCCCTAAATACATCGGGAGCCTCTGGGAAGAAACAAAACCCACAGAAAAGCACCGCCACCGCCACCACCAACAACAACAACCACCACCGCCACCCCCAACAACCAACAGCAACAACCACCATGGATACCACACACTCATATCTGGAACCCTGGCTGAATGTGCGGGTGTCCCTCTTGCTGCTTGCTAGCGCAGAGTGGTGACTCTCCTTTCGGGGTCCTAATGCACCAGCTTTGCTGTGATTGCCATTAGGCTCGCTATTGCAAAAGCATCCAACACCGCCTCAAAAACCAAGAGGTCATGGGGCAACAAGAGCACACATGCTTAGACATGTGCTTGCCCATTGATGGTAGGAAAGAAGCCAGCTACAGGGAAGTCTACCAGAAATCCTTCTTTGTTTTCGTGGGGGTATCTCAACAATTTGGCCCAAGTTCACGTAGAACTTCCCTCCATTGGCTTCTTTCGCAAAGACATCTTTGCAGAAACAACTCAGTTTCCGCGTTTGCCAAAACCAGTCTAAACTAAACTTGTGTTCACTCCCAAGAAACGAATGGTCCAAACCCCCAAGAAACGAATGGTCCAAACTCCCAAGAAACAAATGGCTGTGAGTCAAAAATAGGCAAAAGTCGAGCCGTCCGGAAGCTCCGGGAGCGAACAAAAACTTACCCCTTAAAACTCCCTGCGCCCTGGGGAAGTTCTCATCTTTTACAGACATATAGCCCTTCCGTTATCCCCAAAAAGTTTTACGAACAGTTTCGTGCTTTTCAGAGGGAACCAAACCCCGGGAACGCCTTCCTCGGGCCTTCCTCGGGCCCCAGGCCGGTGGCCATCGCGAAGCCGGACATGCCATAACCTCCAGGCGCTCGACCCATCCCCCATCCCCCAAAAAACCGCCCGGGGGGGGGGACCCAAAAAAAAACGGGGTGCCCCACTTGGGTGCTTAGCCTCCCAGCCTTTTCACATGAAACCTGAGTCCCTTCAAAAGGAACAGGGGGCGGGGTCTAGTGAAAGACCATTTCCTTTTAAGCCAGTTCCCCTGAACGATCCGAGCGTCAAGTTCCATGTGAAAAGGGTGGGAGGGTACCCTTTACCAGATGTTTCCATATTCCAGCTTGATCAATACTCCTGGGGGAAGTGAGTTATCTTTTTTTGCATATCCAGATTTTTCCATACCCCTCGGAAAAGGAAGTGATGAATTTGTGTATTGTGTTGCTTTGTACGAGCGCTGTATAGCCGAATTTCTTGTCATTTGGAAGAAGTGCACACCGTCTTAGGTAGGAATATGAGCAAGGGACCCCACTCGCTTTCCCAAACTACCTGGAAACAGGGTAGCTCAGACTTATGAATCAAACAGGCATGGGACGTATATCAGCGGCACCTGCGGGACATATGTCACGTGCGAGGGGCCGTCAATGGACATGTGGGGTCAAACCAATGGGCACCATGAAAAATGCCAGTTCTTGAGCCATGGAAAATGCCAGTTATTGAGCCAGCAATAGCATGCTTGGGAACAGACAACTTGAACTTGATGCAGAGAACTTTGAAACCAAGTCATGGGCATAATTGGGTGTATCCTTTTGAGGCTACTCCTTTTTTGCTTTCAAAAGGAAAATCGGAAACCCCCCCCCCCCCAAAACACAAAAGGACCCCCCCAAAAAAAAAACACCAACAAGAGCCACCCATTTGCGCCCCCTCGTGGCTGAGCGAGCGATTGCCTGGTCCCCCGGGGAGAACCGAAACCAAGGGCTTGGCGTGTGACGTCGCTGGTGGTGTCTGCAGATTTCTGGGCGAGGCCCAGGTCGCCCAACTTGGAGGTGACGTAGCCTGGGCAGAGGTATCAGCTTGGGCTTATGGGATCCCCCCGGAAGGAAAGCACAACCCTTCAATGGGTGGTTTCCCCTTAAAAACCCAAGAGATATGAAATGGTAAATATGTCTCAGTTAAGGTGTCTCACATCTTCTTGATGGTGCGATAGGTAGGAATCATACATGGAATCAACCCCCTTAAAACAAACCCACCCAAGACGGGTACCCTCAAAACAAGACAGCCCCATAAAAAGGCGTCTTTTTTGGAGTTGGCACCCCAGTTGTTTGTGGGTGAAAAAGGGAAACCAGCAGGAACACAAACACTTTGGGGGCCCTAAACAGCCACATCCCAAAAAAAGGAGGAGTCCAGATCTCAAAGATGAGCCGGGAGTCCATTCTTTTTTAATTATTTTTCACTTAAGGGTCCCTTGAACCCCACTTGGACCATGAAGACAATGAAGTCGTAGAATTCTACAGTTGTGGCCGAATCCCCGAGGTTGCCCTTTGATGAGAACCAAACGAAAAGGGATTCCTCACACATCTGGCCGTGGTGGTCAAAACCGTTTTGGGATCTCATTTTGGGGTAGGTGAATTCACCCAGTTTAGTTGCATGTTCACTGGGGGGTACGATTTGGATTTTGACCCAATGGCCATGTTGCAATGAGAAGAAAACCCTCCATCCTATGGTTTCAGGGCTCCACTTTTTGACCCCAAGATAGACTTCAACCCAGGGGGGACATTAACCACTGGATTTAGGTCTATCTAGTCAAAAAGTGGAGCCCTGGTTTCCATTCGGAGGCGTTGTCAGCTGAGCTGCGACCGTCGCTGTGCAGAAAGATGTTCTCAGGCCTCAGTCACCGAATGGCCCCCTTGAACGCCGAAACCGGGACGAAGCGAGCTCTGAAGCTGATCCCACCGGTAAATACCTATTCCAGTTATACACAGGGGGTCCCTCTTAAGTCTTTAAGTGCAGCTTTTCTCAAACGACCGTCTCATGCACTAGCAGCTACCAATCAGGGAAATGTGGATACGGCTTGATGGAACATCATGTTCGTTGCCAGATACCCTAAACAGCTTTGTGGGCTGCCCGCCGCCCAAACGCAAACCATGCGTCCGGTTCAGAAAGTGAAGAAACAATCTGCAACACAAAGCACACGCCAAGAACCAAAAAGACTCTCATGGCTCTGAACCCTGCAAAAATTCAAGCCACTGTCTTTACTAGTGGGGAAGCTGTCGCCATTCAGCAGCTTTCCATTCCATCCACAAACATTGAACCCACGGAAGAAAACTGCCTTCCAGGATCCCTGTTACTGGTTCGCTGGTGAGTTCTTGATTCAAAACCATAACAAGGAAAACAAAAGAGCAATGAAGGTCCAGGCTTCACTAACACATGGTAGGCTTCCAACGGCTGAGACGCAGAACCCGGGCTAGATTTGGCTCAACAAAGTCTGATTTGTTTTGTTTTGCCAATGAACCGCCTTCCAACAAGTGCAAAGTCCAAGCGAGACATTCTCAACCCTGAAGTCTCTCATAGCGCTGGTTGATTAACCCAGCGGCTTCATATCGTTGTGCGTGATACCGCAGCCGTGCATATAGGCCAATGCCGCCGCCACCTCTTGAAGTACCACCATCATCCTCACCGACGCGCTTTGCGCGGCGAGACACTCTCAAGGCTGAGCAACTGTGGTCCTACGATTTGCGAGAAGAAAGACAGGCACCCTTGTTTCAGAAGGTGACTCATCATGGACACCTTCCCGACAAACAAAACAGGGTATCCTTGCTTCGGCTACAGCAATATTGTGGATGGGCGAAACCAATTCGCACCACATCGAAACTGTGGTTGAAACCGTTGATGGTGTTTATAGCGAAATCATCATAGGGGTTTCTGAACGGCGGCGCGAAATGAAACTCACAACCATCCACAGTGAGTTCTAGTATTATTCCTTGCCCATCTATTTCCAAGCCTCCCTTCGCATGACTCCAACAAGTTCTCCATGGGCAGTTGGTGCATCCAACTCAAAGTCACCCTGTGTCCAAACTGGGCCATTTCTCCAGGTGCCCAGTACATTCGTCGTGAGCAAAACTCCACAGCACCTTCTCAGGCAAAAGGAAAAGAGGGCACCGCAGGTCGAGCAGTCTGAAAGCCAAGTGGCCCATGGGGAGTCAGCGCCTCCTTGTCGAGCCAGTTCTGAACGCTGCCAGCGTTCATCTTTTCAATGGTCATGCACCTGCTTGAAACGGAATCAACCGGCTTGACACCCGCATTTTGGCAGATTCAAACAAAGAAGTACCCTCCCAAAAAAGAACACAAATGACGTTTGTGTTTGGACCAAATGTTTTCAAGTTGCGCCACCCAGCCATCCCCCCTCAGAACCATGCCAGAGCATCAAAACGCACACATTTGTCTGAGGCTCTGGGGTCGCCTTAGAGCCCCGAGCATCGGCAACTCTTCAGGTGCAATCCGGCGATTCCAACAACAAAGGGGCTTGTTTGGTGCCTTTTTTTGCCCAGAGGCTCCCGATGTATTTAGGGCCCTTAAACAGCCAGGTTTTGAGACCCCCAAACACCTCTGGGGTGTCCAATGGAGGGGTCGGGTCTTCCATTGAAAGCCCCAGGAGCCTCTGGGTGGTGTCCATTTTGTGTTAAAGGGACGCCCAAAAAGGCCAGCACCCATTTCTGGGCATCCATTGAGGAACCCAATGGACTTCCCGTCGGTGAAGTCCAAGAATTCAGCCCCATGGAACCCCAAATTCATCCCCAAAGTAGAGTGAGGGTGGCCCGGGGGAACAACCACTTAAGGGGTTCTTTCGGTGTTGGCTTTACATGGGGGTTTGAGTGAAATCCCTCATTGAAGTGGCATCCACAGCTCCCATCTTCATGTGGTGCTGTGAGGGGCAGAAGTCATGTTGTTGCTCAAAGTATTCACTTTCAGTGACCGACGGAAACCAATATCTTTACAAGGTTGGACCCCCAACATGGCAAGTTCTTCCTCTGGCATTTGGTTAAGACCCCTGGAAAAAGAAAAACTATTTCCAGCAGTGGTAGACTCCCTTAAAAACCGACAGGGGAAAATGAAAATATGACTAAGCAAATGGAAGTCTTGGTTTCTCTTAACAGGAACCTGTAAAAAGGAAATAAAAACACACACGGAGCCAAATATGAATTCCTTCAAGGCACACAAAGTGCGAGGGGAAGTTCTTGCGCTGAATGTCCGACTTGAGCGTACCTCGCCGTTTTCAATGAGCACTGGCAGGTCATAGGACCCCAGTAGGACCCTCGACCCCACTCCAACAGGTGTCCTACAAATATGGGGCTTAGGGTAAACAAGGGGGTAGGTGGTCCCAGTGGGTTGCGCAGTTCGTTTGGTATAACAGTGGCAGGGAGGTGAGGGGGAGGTGGGGTCCTCCATTAAGTGCTTGGTTTGGGCGGGGGGGGATACCAATGGGACAAGCCCAGGGTTTGAATGAATCCGAGGTCGACATGATCGGCTGAACTGATTGACGGGCGACTAGGAAGCAACAGGCAAACCGTTTAAGGCCGGGACTAGAAACTTACGTACAGTAAGAGCCCTGAGTTGCGATTCAAAGCTGACTGACGCGGGACTTCTCTTCACGACGCGCCCCCGAACCAAAAAAATACATGTGTAACCACAACGTCTTCTGAAATTTGAACCACAAAATATGAAGATTGGACTCTTTCCTGGATCGCTTTGCTGCTTTCCCGTTCTTTGTGCTGGCCATCGCGGCGTGCGCGATCCCGGTTTGACTCTGTTGGTTTGTTTCTCGGCTTCCCCATTCAGCCGGGTCGGGACAGAGAAGGGCCAAGCCAACATCCCGAAACCAAAACCCTTCCCTCCTCCAAAGCATGCCACAAGTTCGGGAGTGCGGCTGGAGGGTGCCACAAGAACTGCCCGAGAACAGCCTGGTTCGAATTCGAGGCGTCCGCGGCCGAAATTCTGCACTAACTCTGTCGCCCACAGCCGTTTAGACCCTTTATGCCTCCCTAGACTCTCCATGACCCTTAAAAAATTGGGTCATTGCCCAAAAGAAAGGGGTCATGACCCCTTGTTCTAGGGGTCACGGAGACTCTAGGTCCATTGGCAACCGGATCTGGCAAAAAGCCAATTTCAAAGGCCTTCAAGAGACCTCGCACTTTCTTCCAATGTTGCCGAACACTTTCGGGGCAAACGCAGAACTGTGCGCACGCTCAAGGCTAAGCGATTGCCCATCCACGTTGCAAGAAAACTGCGAACCAAACCCCGAAGGTGCGAAAGGTTGAAGATGTGCTCAAAATCTGGGCTTTGCCACATGTTCCACCCGTACCGAATGCACTTGCTGGCCCCCCCTGTTTTCACACCAATTGGATCTCTTTCATGATCTAAGTGAGCGGGAAATCCTTGCAAGCTGCTTCCCACTTCCCAACCCCCAGTAAGTATTAGCTCTTTGCAGCTGACTAAACATGAACAGAGCCAAGAGAGCAACACGCCCTGAAAATCAATACGTGATGATATATGCATCTAAACGTGTATCAAGAACAGCGCATCCCAACCATTAACTGGACATCATGCGGCCCCCCTCTGGCTATACATTACTTCCTAGATGTGGACCCCCTTCACTAACAAAAGGACCTGGCAGCAGGTAGTCTACCCTGTCTGAGTTGCTCTTCTAGGTCTAAGAGTCTATCCTCTTGTAGGTCTATTGGAAAAGCAATTTCTAAAAGGCTTTTCGGGGCCTAAGAAGCTGAGGTCACACCCAAAACCAGCCATGCTTTGTGGCCAAGCGAAAGGGCGCCGGCTCGGTAGCCCTCTTGGAGACAGCTCTTCAGCACCCCATTCTCATCGCCGTACAAGAAGACCTGCTGGTACTCCACCTCGCGACCGTCTCCCGTTTGGCCCAATGGGCCAGGACTGAGCCAACTGGTTGGTGTCTTGAAGACCGAAGCAAAAACATGGTGGTCCAGCACTTGCTTCAACTGGAACCAAAGGGTAGCTTCAAGGTGGCAAGACCCTGGATGGTGAACCTGGCTATAACCCATTTTGGGGGGCATCGTAAGTCGGCATCTATTTAGCTAAGTGCCCGCCCATCAACGGTTTCCAAGGGGCTCCTAGGACGTCCAGTGTCTGGGAAGATTGGTAAAAACCGCCACTGTACTGAGACCACCGGCCCAAAACTTGCATATCGCAGACATCTGTATGCCCATCGATTCCCACTAAGATTTCGTAAGGATCATCTTGGCCCTTGACTTCTCAGTGTCAGGGACTTTGGAGGCCGAGAAGCTGCTACATGGGGACCACATGGGGCCAGCGCAGAGTTGAAGCCGGGTTGATGAGCACAATGAAAGCCACGGATTTCCGTTGCAAAGAGGAACCAAGGCAGGGAAACCGAGTGTCATGAAAAGCTGGATTTATTTTGTGGTGTTAAGGGGACTTGACAAACAGAGTTGGGTGAGGCGGACCCATCCCAAACCGTGATAACACAATCGTTCAGTCTGCCCCCATCGGTTCGACTGCCTCCTTTGGTACCCAGGTTCTGGCTTTGACTCACATGATGTCCATTCAAAGTTCCACTCATTTGCCAGAAAGTACTAGTAGTATGCGTATGCTTTTTGGGCTGACGAGAGCCAATGGGTCCATTCGCCCACACTACACTTAACTGACCGGTACCGCTTTGGTTTAGTTTTCTGCGTAACTCCGCCACATGAAGGGAACTGTGCCATCTACTTTCACCCTCATGCAACAGCCACCACTGGGAGTTGATCCAAATGTTCATCTGGGGCGAGGGTCCATTCCCCAATCTAGGCTGGAATTAGGACCTCAGCAAAACATCATCTGCTTTGCCTGGTTAGTGGAAAACAAAGGGACCCAAAAGAAGCAACAACAAAACAGAAACGGGAGCTAATTCTGGGAAAGCAATGGGGTCCATTCCCCAAGCCGGCGGGGTGGAGGGATGGGCACCCTCTCGGCTCAAGCTGAGGGCGCGGCGATGTTTTTATGGCCTCGCCCCATCCTCGGAATGTGTCGCGAAGGCCGCAGATCTAACTCGGTGGCTTTCTGCTCCCCTGCTAAAAGTGACTAACTTTTAGTGGTTTGGTGGCAAAAACCCATTAGTTGGCAAAAAGTTAAAGTCCTAACATCCAAGCAAAATGCACCTCTTCTAAGTAGAAGCCGTGGGGGGATCTTCCCCAAGAGTGATGAACCCCCCAAAGAGGCCTCACCCTATTAATCAACCAGGGCGTTATTACTGTGATCCGGGAATAGCATCACCCTTGGAAAAGGGCACTAGGAGGATCAGGAAAGTGGAGCTCAAAACCTGATCCATGCCATTGTGCCTACCACGCTCCTCAGATTTGGGGCTGGCCAGTTCGAGAGGAAACAAACTGACCTGAGTTCAACGTCGAACTGAAGGTAAGTTGGAGTCGTTAAAAAGTCCGCAGCCAAGCCTGGCACATGCCGGTTCTCCGCATGATTTGAGGAACGCCCCAAGACCTTCATCACGGGGCCCAGGCTCTTTCAACCGGTGGGCTCGCTATAACCTATGATGGTACATACAGTGTGCACATATGCCTTTTAAAGCTTGAAGCACATGTGTTCAACCATCCTGGCTCTACAAGGATATGCGGTCTGCCGTAAATCTGTGGATGGTTGCGAAATCCAGAAATCGCACCACCGTTCAGGAACCCTGGTTTCGCATTCGATTCCCCAACGTAACTGCCAACCCACCTTGCGGTTGCAACCCTGGCTTCCTTTCGTGGTGCAGGTGTTTGTCCATCTACTGTATCACCTTTAGCCGTTGCACCATGGACATCCAACAAACGCATGGGATGGATGAAGCCCGGTGCGAACGGATTTCGCAACCAGCATGGCTTCCAAGGCTTGAAAGGTTCCCAGGCGATCGCACTAGCCTCAGGTCTTCTGCCGCACATGCGGCACATTTGTACACAACGTGCAAACTAACATTTGCAAATGTATGTAAAGATGAAATTGCATAAAGGGGCATCATGCTGCATTGCATGCATAAGAACAATAGCTATCTTTAGATGTTGCTTTTGTTATTGCTTTTGCACTTCTTGCTGGTTGTCATCGTTGTTTGTTACTTTCTGTCTTTCTTCCTTCCTTCCTTCCTTTCTTTCGTGCGCTGTGAGAGCTAGCTCCGAGCTTACCGGTCTGCTTCTTTACCTTTCTACACAATTTCTATCGAAGTGTTCCCCCTGTATCTATCTATCTATCTACCCATCCATCTGTCTATGCATCTACCTATTTATCTGTTGATCTATCTTCCCCAGAAGACTTTACAAACAGTCGTATGGACAGAACCCACTTTGCACCATACTTTCTGTACATACCCCTTTTACATACCCCTTGGGCAAATGAACCCAACAGGCCTGCTGATGTTCATACCCCTGTCCCCAACATGGGTATATACCCCTTATGAAGTGGCTGGAAACCAGGGAAGCCAAGGGTTGTGAACAAGGGGTAGCCTCTGAAATACTGTGCCCTACGTGGAATCAGCCCATCCGCAGCCTTACTCCCGTTTTCTTCGGCCATGGCTCTTGCTCCCATAGACCCACTCCTTTGAGGTCACGTCTGCGTGGTGCACATCGCTGAGTTTCAGCACTGCCTGGCTCACTGCGATGGTACTGGCTGGGCAAACTCGACTTCTCGGCTTCCCTGCTAAAAGGGGGTTTGCCCAGAAGTAACCCACAAGGGATGGCTTAATAGAAGTTCGGTGGCTTTCTGCTTCCCCGCTAAAAGTGACTAACTTTTAGTGGTTTGGTGTCAATCGTGTGCCTTCGCTTGGAGATGTTTATCAGCAGTCAGCCGATGTGAATCCGTTTGCCAAGGGGCTCAGGTTTTGGGGAAAGACCTTAGAGGGCGCGCCACGGAGAAAAGGTCGCGGAGCTCTCGGAGGGCGAGGTCGCCTGGGGATTTACATTGGTAGCGGAGCAGCTTCAGTCTCAGGGAGACGCTGCCGGCGGCCTGGACGATAGGCCAGGGAGGTGGAAAGAGAACCGGAGGTCTGAACGAGAGACCAGGTGCAGTGGCTTTTGCAGTTGGGTGATTGCAGTTTTGAGGACAGCTTTCGCTGGTTGCAATGGCGCAGGGAGAAACAGGAGGGGGATTCGCAGGGGTTCCCACGCAGATAGCACAGCTCGTGCCGAATTTCGACCCGAGCCGTGGAGACAATTTGGAGACATGGTCGCAGAAGGTGGAGTTGGTGGCCAATGTCTGGCCGAAGGACAAGTACCAGGAGCTCATCACCAGGCTGATCTTGGGTTGCAGTGGATCTGCCTTTCAGAAGCTTCAGTTACAACAGGCGGAGCTCAAGACGGGCGACATGGAGGCGGTGAAGAAGATAATTTCAATCCTGGGAGGCACTTGGGGTCAAGTTCCATTGGAGAAGAAGTTTGAAGCCGCCGAACGAGCCTTATTCAAGATCACGCAGAAGGGAGATGAGACAAACGACTCCTACCTGGCCAGAGCAGATGTGGCGTGGTTGGAGATGTTACAGAAAGGGCTCGACATCAAGGAGCTCCAAGCCTATGTTGTTTTGAGGAATTCTCAACTCGCTCCCGAGGATAAGAAACGCGTTCTCGTGGAGAGTGGAGCAGAGGCCGGAAATGTCCTTACCATGCCGAAGGTGAATGCGGCAGTCCGGATGTTGGGCACAAGTTTCTTTCAGGACTACACGGGCATCAAGAAGAGTCGCAACAAGACCTATGATCAGGCCACACTTCATCTAGAAGACGCCGGAGAAGATGAAGGGGAAGATGCAGATGCATTTCAGATGGAGGGCCTCACAGAAGAAGACATTCAGGAGCAATTGCGGTGTGAAGGAGATGAAGATGCAATTTTGGTGGCTCAGTTTGAGGATGCGGCCACCGAGACCTTGCAAAATGATACCGAACTCGCCGCACTGTTTTCCACATATCAGGATGCACGCAGACGTTTAGGGGACAAGGCCAAGTATCGTGGTTATTGGGCTCCTCGCAAAGGCAAGGGCAAGTCCAAAGGCAAATGGACTTCAGGCAAGGGACAAGGAAAGAAGACCTTGTCACAGCGCATCATGGAGTCCAACTGCAGGTTGTGTGGGCAGCGTGGTCACTGGAAACAAGAGTGCCCGAACAAGGGACAACCGCCAGCATCCAGCGGTCAGTATCCTGTGTCATTTGCCGCATCCGGGAGTGAACCCCAGCACAACACGTCGGAAGCCCTCATGCAGATTCCAGAGATCGCCATGAGCTTTCAGGACTCATCCATGTCAGGCTTGTGTTCAAATGAGGCCCATGAGGTTTTCACAGCATGTCACAACGCAGTTGCCTGGCCCGCCCGCAGGAACCTTAGAGAAGTGATCCGCCGAAGAAGTGAAAATCAGAAGCCACCGATGACTCCAGCCATTTCCCAACACGCCTCCAACACTGAAGTGATGGAAACGTTGTTTGCGTCACACGGAACCAAAGGTGTTGTGGACCTCGGAGCATCACAGAGCGTCATGGGAAGTCGGCAGGTGTCAGAGTTTTTGGACGGGTTGCCGAAGTTGGTACGCCAGCGTGTCCGAAAGTGTGCTTGCCGCATGGTGTTTCGTTTTGGAAATCAAAGCACCCTCACGAGCCACACCGCACTCATGGTACCAATCAACAAGCAGGGGCTATGTGTGAAAATTGCTGTTGTAGAAGGCGGCACACCATTCCTCATTTCGAATGCATTGCTGTGTTCACTGGGAGCTGTCATAGACACAGGTCGGCAAGAAATCACATTCCAGAAACTTCAGAAAACAGTGACCGTGCAATTGTCAAGCCGAAATCTGTTTCTGCTTGATTTCAATGACATATTGCCAGATGACCTGAGTGACACGGCCCTTATCAGCCATAGCACAATAGATGCTGCACCGTCCGCTCCGTGTGAGCCGAAAGTCAGAGTGTGTGCAATCCAGATTGAGCCTGTCCAGACCATGAGCCCCTTGAGCAAATGTAGAGGTGAGTTGCCAAGTGATAATGCGAATCGGAATGATCAGTGTGCTCAAGCCAGTGTGCCTTGTGTCACCGGTCACGACGTGAACCTTCCAAGAGACACCAATGTCGCTAGCACTGGCCGACCGCCTCAAGAACCTTCAGAAGATGATCCAGGAAGAGACACGACCACCAGTCGAGACTCTCACGAGGGACGAACTGGAACACGAGAAGATCGCATTTGGAACGGCCAAGAAGGGACAGTCATTTGCCAAGGCATTCAGCGACCTGAAGTGGACCAGTTGGTTTGTGAGCCACTACGAGGGATCCAGCAAGCGGGAGCACCAGAC